TGTTATGCATTATCTGTTAGTACATGTCACTGAACAGTAACATTGAATTTAATATAAAATATCTCATCTAAACTGTATCTATCTTGATCAATTAATGGATAGCATTGACAGTTGTCATGGTAGTGCCTTACTTCATTGTTGTATTTCGTAAGCAGTTCGAAATTGTGAAGTATTCATTTGCATACTTTTCATTTGCATACGCTTCGTTCGTTTGTTTCATTTCTCCACTGTGCATGGTCTTGGTAGCCCATTCGCTTCATAATGCTTACATATACTGTTAACATCGCACGATGTTCGTGCCTAGTCATTTCTGTTAGGTTTACTTCATTCGGTCACTTATGGCCTGAAAAGTATACTCTCATGCTGTCTTGGTTTTTGATCAATGACTGTTTAACTACAAGATATCGGTATTCTATTAAATTGCAGTGATAGAAACAAAATAGCAACATAAAAATAATAAACATATTACAACAAATTGTAGCTTATTTATCATTGGCATTATGCTATAAAATTTGTTAGTGATTTCCATGTTTAACTATAAATAGTTTTGTCTTATGTAAATGAAAATAAGTGTTTTTGTTAATGCTGTCATTGAAAAAAATATCTAAAATATTTAACAGGTTTGTGTTATTTTCAATGACTTAACTGTTTTCTATCGTTGCAATTTTAATCAGTACTATTCAGCCAATATGCTTCTTTCTAACGAATTTACTGGTATTAAGGTAGAGATCCAGGTTCGTTGGCACTTGGGAGTGAAATTTTTTTTTTGCTTTTTATTATCCAATATTAAAATTGTGTAGAATTGTGAATAGTGGAACAAACTCAAAAGACGATTTTAAAATATATATAACAGGTACAAACATTCTCTTTTTTGAATGCTTAGCAAAATTTAGCATGGCTGTACAAAAATCATCAAAAAGAAATATGGTCAAAAAATGACGTGATCTCCATATTATGCACTATATTTAACTTTTTACAAAACGATAATACATTTAAATTTGGAACTGTTACAGCCATTTTAATTATGAGCATTACCAAACTTCTTACTGAGTGAATTGTTATGCAAATTAGCAATTATCTCAGCTTCGTTTTAGTGCACATCCCAGAACTTTAAAAAATAGCTCCTAGACGCTTTGACTTTTTCTTTTGAAATTTTCACAAATGACAATGTGTTTATCTTCAAAACGCCGTCGGAGCATTGTTTTCGGTTGAACAGTGTTACAGCAATCGTACAGACAACTAGCCTGGGTGTTAATTTATGCATAAACTTGAAGTATTGAAATTTGAGCTGCTGCCCTGCAAAATTGACAACTGGTACACAGTTGTCAAGACGGCGCTTTCTTCATAGTAAACAGATGTACCGGTAAACCGATTTTTTACAGGAAACAGAAGCATGGTTTAGAAGCTATTTTTTAAATCACTTTTGAACAAAAAGACACTTTCTTTTTTGTGCATATTTCAAACTACAGTGTCCATAAAAAAAATACTAACAAAATTTTAAAATTCATACAATAAGCTTTCCGAAAATATATAGTATTGTGGACAAGGGAGGTCATCTTGGTTTTCTAATTAACTAATTAAAATACCTGTCAGGTAAACTGCACCTTTACCTTAACTGATATTTTGTAGTTAATTTACTTATGCATGTTAAGTACATTTCCGTTGTCAGTGTCTTATTTTATACTAGTTTTTGATTGCAACAAAAGCAAAAAAGTATCCATTTAATATAACACCTTGTCTTTCAAACTTGCTGACTGAAAGTTGTATGATTTGAAGCATAGAAATGCGTAGTAAAATGGTAAACGTCAGATTGGAATCATCATTTACGGTGTTCTTGAGTTGTGTTAGTACCTGACTAAAGTCTGGAAAAGTCTCGACATGCAACACCGTTTAAAATTTTGTGTTAGAACACGCCACAAAGCCAGCTTAGCCAATATCAAATTTTCAACGTTTTCATGTTTCAATAGTGGCAATGTATGTCATGAAATCCCATATAAGATCTATAATTTTGGAAAGAAAAGAACAGGACAGTTTGAAAAATTAGTGTCCATCACAGAAATCCCCGGACTTGCTTCTATCAAATATCGAATAAGTAGGTCAGCCACATTAGAGAGACGTCAGGCAGTTCTTGTGCAATTCGATGGATATGGTGATGCCCTAAGTTGTTGAAAATGAGATCACAGCTAAATTGTTGCTAAATGCTATAAACAAAATATCGTGGATCATACAGCTTTAATGGTTTTAGCTAATGTAGTGTATATAAGTTTTGTAGTATATAATACTGTATTCCGTGTATACTATTGTATTGTAGTATATACTATTTTATTCCGTGTATACTATTGTATTGTAGTATATACTATTGTATTCCGAGTATACTATTGTATTTCAGTATTAGTAAAATATGCATTCATTTGTTCTTAGAGTGGTATCCAGCAGAAAACAGATCTAAACAAATAAAATATTTACATCGTCTTTGTTACTATTTTAAGCACTTGTATTTTTGCAATAAATTTATATTATATATATTTGTATTTTTATTTGAAATTTTCTTCATGGACAAAACAAATTAAATTTTCTCAATGCAGTTTATTATTTAAAAAATGATAAATTGCTCTTCACTGATACGATTCAGAATGTGTGTGTTCTGGTTACCTGATTGATAATGAACATAGAAATAGTCGTTTCTGTAGTATTATAAGGATACTACATAATAAAGTTTTCAATCACGTTATATATAAGTATTCTATATGTTTCATATAGCATACAATTTTTCGTATTTAATGAAGTGTCTTCAAAATCTGAACAAGCTCGTCAAATACATAGCAATACCCATCTAATAATAACAAATGAATTTTACACAACATAGTACCATATTTCGGGCTTTATAACCCCTTTAAAATGTACTTGCATTGTACAATTCGGCCCTTCCTGATTTGAACCCTACGAGGCTGCCTGAAGCTTTAATCAAGCTTTTCGGACTTGGCAAGTCTGCACACGGCTGCAATAAAAATGTTATCTGTATATTGTATATACATGTATACACCGACCTGGCAGCCAAAATGTGTTGAGAAATCAGTGGTTGACAGAAAACAATATTAATGCCATCACACTAGAAATGTAAAGCTAAAAAACATTTAGGTTACAAGATGTGGAGGGTTAAAGTAAACAAAATGATCTAATCAAAACTATATTATAGAGAATTTATAGAACGAAATAAGTTTATTGAAGTACAGGGAAGACTTGTCATCTGAAATGTCTTGACAGCTTGTCATCATATTGAATGATTAGATATTTCAGATTCTTTAGATATTGCCATCTATTTTAATATTTTTCATAATGCCACAGTTCCAGAAAATCATTGTAATACCATACATGGCCATTTATATAAAAGATAAATTGAAACTGAATATGGCCTTTAATAGATCCCAATAACTAATGAATTTGTAGAAATGAACTTAAAATTTAAACGAATGGTAAGTTTATGCCATGTGATAGGATACACAATAAATTCTGTTCACAATTATCAAATGAGTAAGTTTCCAATATTGCGGGGCTAGAGCGGATGCCATAATGGTTAGCATAGCCAAACACAGATCAATAATATACTGCAAAATCACACATAAGCCTGAAACTGTACGGACGTCACAGAAATATTATATACCCATACAAATGTTGTTGTTCAAAATCAGTTGACAGGTTTAATTTTAATCTTCTATTTGTTGAGTTAACAGTGTCAATGCAGGCTTTTTAGGATGCCACCATGGTTATTTAGACAAAACAATACTGTATTTTCGGATGGAGTTTACAATGCATCATAGAGCAAATGAACATTCGACAGGTGGTATATTATGATGCTTATTTACCAGGCTACTCTCATTTTACTTGAATTATTTCCAAGTGAATGATTGTGGTATTCACTACTGTCATTGTTACGAAAGGTCATATAAATGATAATTTAAATTATAATTGGAAATAGTCTGAAGCCATGTATTTGAACTTAATATATATAGCCCGTATAGCGCAATACCTGGATATCACGCATTGACCCATCCACGAGTTTGAGCAATGCGCATCGATCACAGATGTAAAAGTGTTGTTGTCAAGAAAATCCTGATAGAAAGAAATGTTGTGTTTATATTACCTTGATGAGAAAGCTCTTATTTTGGGAATGTAATTTCACTATTTATTGCCATAATATTTAGTTCTTACATTGAGAAATTGATATTCTCTACTCTTTTATATAGTCTTGTCAGAAGCATAAAAGGTGTCATCAATATTTGATAATACTGATATTTCACTCATCGTGAGCCAATGGTCTCACGTTACAATTTCATGAGATTTGCATAGCGTTGATTGATGACTTAATGTCACGACAATGTATGAAGCTATTTTGAGAGGCATTATTCAGATTTGGTTGGATAGTATTTTCGTATTAGTGTGGAGGCATCTAGTTTCTATTCAATGAAAAGTACGTGTCATATGCATTTTCCCATATTTCACTTGTACGTCTGACGTTTGAGATAACTTTCCACATCCCGCCTATGAATTATTGGAATTACGTGGGCGGTAGCGCTCAAAAATTGGTCCGGCTATTCAAATAGTTTTTAAGTGTATCAGATGGCATTTCTTGTCTGTATAATGACTGCATTTCAATATCAAACAAGAGCTGGCTGCTTTTATCACACTACTACGTTACATCAATCTTGGCAATTGGTACTTTTCAGCAATAAATAAAGTGTGCATCAAACCATGGTGGCCTCCTGTGTAGAGATGTATTTAGTGTTCAATGGGCAAGATTTTCAAGCTTGTTGTTGTAGCCCAGTAGTTGTATTTATAATTTTCAACCAGGTCCCATTCTATAATGCCAGTCTTGTATATTGTTTTGTCCAAGTTCGAGTAGATTCTAGGAGGGTACACTCAGAGTTTAAAATAATCACATCATTGTTCACCTTATTTTCAATCTCATAATTACGTATACAAATAATGTAAGAAAATGAATATGCCTACAATTCTTTACTAACTAAATACAATAGCAAATGCAGTATGTCACACTACTTTATTTGTGGTAAGCACCTTCGAAAAAGATACATTGAACATGTAATACATGTGTCATCCAATATATTATTGATTCTATACATGCACTATTAGCGAAGACAAATGTTAATTAGGAGGAGGATTATATTTTATGTATTTCCATTTAGCATATTGCAGCAAGCATATAGCTGATTGGCGGACTTCCACGAACTGCGTTGGTATCGGTCAACTGCATTGATGGCGATAAGCTGTGGAGGTAATGGAGAATAAATAGTTATATAAAAAGTAATAGTATTTTTTAGTGCATGCGCCACATGGATGAATGGATGATTGTAATCTCAGATTGTAATCGGAACTTGATACTGCATCACTCATAGTGGGTTATTATTATTATGTTTGTGTTTCGTTTTAATTTTATTCAATATACCAAATTCAACATTATGGTCATGTTTTTTTTTAATAAACGTTATACGCGGGGCTGATTTAACTCAGATTAAGTGCGTATGTATCAAACGTTAATGTAATATATTGGTTGTTGTCAAAAGTATAAAAAATCTATATTTTGTAATTAGTTTGTGTTTTTATGACGTGTCATGATCAGAAATTAAATTGTCGGCAAATTAAACTAAAAACTGTTTGAGAATATGCCAGAGTCAAAGCGATATAAACAAGTGATAATTCGACAGCTCATCAGTTAGGCCAATGGGCACACTTAATAACGATAGTAGGTAAGCCTGACATATTCCCGACCTTGTTTATTCAAAAAAGAAAAACAGAAAACTTGATACATCTTCATTAGATCACAGATGTATATACAAATTATTCATATCTATATTTTTTATAGATATATATTCAGCAGTGTGCAAAGAGAAAAATATTTATTTCTGATCATTTATATTGGTTTGGTCACTATGACTTCACTGTGATAGTAGACTTGCAATGACGAAACATCATCTTATACTAGAAATCCACTAGTGCCAATTAAAAGAATTCACATTAGATCAGATGGCTAAATTATTTTAAATAACTGATTAACTTTGTCACCATATCACTAATATTAACGCATGCCTACACATAATATGTTATGCTGTATGATATTGACAATTTGTCAACATTTGCATTTCCCCTTCAGACATATTATTATTATTATTATTTCTTTATTCCGCACTATATGGCCACCGGCCTAAAGTACTGTTACATTTCAAAACTTAAATTTCACACGGTCGCTTTAAAATTACAAGATACATATACTTCAAATCATACTTCCATTTCAGTTTCTCTGTATTGAAAACTCTTAAACAAATATTTACCCAAACTTAGTAAAATATACGAGTTAGTACTCTGTAGCATTGCAATGAATTTCATCTTGGTTGGTGGTGAAAAATAATATTTTGGTAAGAATTTTTGTCTAAGTGCTTCATATTTTGGACAAACCATAGTAAAATGATATTCGTCCTCTGTGACCCTGCAACCAAATGGACATAATCTTTGGTCACGTGGAATACCCAATGTTCTACCATTTT